TCTTGCTCTTCTTGCTCCCCTCGGAGGTGGTCGAACTCGCTTTTGCTATATCGGCTACGCCATCGAACTCTCGCTCGCCACCCTTGCCGCCCACGCCCAAGACCACGAGTTTGTTCTCCGAGCCAACATTGCTTCCCGTGTCTACCAAATCAAGTCCCCAGAACTCGCTCTCGTAAAATTTACCGCCAACGCCGTCGTTCACGAGTGTGTCCCGACAAACCGAAGATCTTGTCCAGCTTGAGAACACGGGAAGAGCATGCCAACGCAAGATTACAATCCACGGTCTCGAAATCGATATCTTACCATGTTTTTGTTCATTGAAGTATGTGGGTCGGCGCATCAGTTTCGACGACACAGTATCCACAGAGGTGAAGAACCGCCCGAAGGCAGGGTGAGCAACTTCCACAACTCACATACAAAAGTTCACAGGAAAGCATTACCCGCTGAAACAACGACTCCAGCTTTTGGACGGCACGGTTACGCCGACTGTTCTCTATGGTGCAGGTACCTGGACGTTGACTGCGCCTCTGCGACAACAGCTACAGCGCACACACGGCGCATGCTACGCATGGTTATCGGCACCCCTCGACGACGAAGCACCGACGTCAGACAAACGTCCAGAGCGACCGGCCTGCAAGAGCCACCTTCGACACCAGCTCCGGCATCTGGCGCAGACAGCACCGACGGAGAAGATGTAGACAGCAACCCGCCGACCGCCCACTTGAGCACCGAAACCCGAAACTAGCAAAGCAAAGCACGAAAACATCGACGACTACGCAAGGACAGCCAGCCATGGGGGCGACGGTTTAGAGCTATGGGCTGAATACGTCATACATCAAGCGAGCGACTCGACAAGCAGAGGTCTTCATGCACAAACATGAACTACACGATTGGGAGGCAACGCAAGGAAGGAGGGTGTGGATATGCGCAGCCCACGTTGTGAAGCGACTACCGCATGAATGTCCACAGCGTGTTCATCATTGGCACCTGAGCCTTCGCGCCTCAGCGCCATCATGAGGACAGTGGAAGAGATGGGACGATGATATCCGCGGGTTTCTCCGCCAGTCTCACGACGCAGACAACCGACGGCAGACGCCGCGAAGGCACTGCGACCTCAACGACACCACGTGGCTACAACCTGCCATGACAAAGGAGTTGGAACAGTTTGGAAACAGTTTCGTGAAGTTCGCATCTCCCTGCGTAGGTGCCTGGCGCCCGCAGTTTCTCATGCGAGCAATGACCTCACCTGTCTCGCCTTGAAGGCCCCAGGCGCATGCCCGCACGGGCGTTCCGTTCCGTTCCGTTCACGAGTGTGTCATTCAAGTTCCCAGTGAGGCTGCTGGGGATCTGATTCACCGATACAACTCTTTCTGCAGGCCCAGCGTCGAGGACTGTTTGCTTAGCAGACAACCTTCACCAGGCAGCATCATCATCCTCCAGCATTCCCGTGACTACTGAGGCAGAGTCCAGTGGTTGCGGTTCACAAGGATCTTGTCGAGGTCGCTCTGGTTGTCCTGGCCCCCCTCCAACTTCAACGCTGTCGCCGCCGCCAGCTCCTCCGAGTGCTGAAGGCGCTGCTGTGCCCGCGCGGGCTCCGGCGCCGGTAGGTTGCACGCCTTGCATGTCGAGCGGAAGCCGAAGTTCGCGAATGTGCACACGCACTTTCAGATCTTGATCTTCAGGTCAGGCTTCTGGGCATCTGCCTCGCACTGCTTTGGCAGCTCCTCCACCCGGCTCGAAGCTTTCTCCTTGTCCAGGTCCTTTCTGAGTCGAACCTTGACCTCGACGAGCTTCCTCGCCAGCACCCTGCACAGGCGGATGTCCAGCTTTGAGATGACTCTCAGGTTAGTCTTCGTGGACAGGTTAGTCCCCGTGTTTGGTCGTCATCTTTCGCACAAGTGATTCGGGAGCCCGATGGCGATGCCGATTCCACCACATGCTCTCTGTTCATGTCCGTGATGAACTCCTGCCTCTGAACCTCTGGGATCGTGTGCAGGAGCTGCCGGTTCCTCCTGACTCCTGGCCGTAGCAGACGATATCTTCACACCATCCGCTAGGAAGCCACGACCGAAGCCGCGCACCTGCGAGCCGCAAGCCTCGTCCAGGAGCTCGTAGCCGATGAAAAGTTGTAGCCGCATCACGATCAGGCCGCCATCGCAGCTGCCGTAGCCCTGGCGGGCACCCCCCCTTCGAATCGCGCCGGCCCGCCTCCGCGATCGGGATGACAAGGGCTATGATGCTGCTGCTGATGATATTGATGTTGATGATGATGCTGATGATGATGATGATGCTGATGTGGCTGATGATCATGATGATGATGATGGTGCTGATGGTGCTGATGATGATGAGGATAATGACGATGATGATGATGATGATGATGATGATGATGATGATGATGATGATGATGATGATGATGATGATGATGATGAGCATGAGAGGAAGGTATGGAATAGGTGGATCACGAGGAGGACGATTAAGGTTACTCACGGGCAGGAGGAATAGGGGGACTGATAGCATGAACCGTCGTCCCTTACAAGTCGTAATGATCCCATCGATGCAGTCTGCCGTCGGAGGGCCCGACTGGTCCTTGAGATTTCTGAGGAGTTCTGGCAAGAGTAGGGGGAGGAATACGAGCAGGAGGCTTAGGACGAGGAAGAGAGCGGGGAACACCGATGATGATGTTGATGCTGATGATGATGATGATTATGATGATGCCGATGATGATTACGATGATGATGATGATGATGCTGATGATGATGATGATTATGATGATGATGATGCTGATGACTATGATGATGATGATGATGATGATGATGATGATGATGGTGGTGGTGGTGGTGGTGGTGGTGGTGATGTGGATCATGTGTTTGTGATGGTAGTGGTGATGATGACGATGTGGGCGATGGTGCATGGTCATGGTGATGGTACTGATGACGATAATGATGCTGATGCTGCTGATGATGATAGTGATGCTGAGACTGATGATCACGATGGCACTGATGACGATGTTGATGATGTTGATGCTTCTGATGATGATGGTAATGAGGATGCTGATGGTGATGCTGTTGATGACTATTATGATTGTGTAGATGATGAGAATGATGATTCTGTTGATGATGATGGTTGTGGTGGTGGTGATGATAATGCTAATGCTGATCATGATGATGATGATGATGATGATGATGATTCTGATGATGATGAGGATGATGATTATGATTATGATGCTAATTGTGAAGATGGGGATGATTATGATGATGATGAGGGTTGTGGTGGTGGTGGTGATGATAACGATACTGATGATGATGATGATGATGATGATGCTGATGATGATGATGCTGATTATTATTGTGATGCTGATGATGATTGCGCAGATGATGATGCTGATGATGATGATAATGATGATAATTATGATGAAGATGATGGTTGTGGTGGTGGTGATGATGATGATCAAGCTGATGCTGATTCTGATGATGATGATCTCTATGATGATGATGATGATGATGATGATGATGATGATGATGATGATGATGCTGATGATGCTGATGATGATGATGCTGCCGATGATGATGATGAGGCGGATAACGATGGTGATGATGCTGTGGCTGATGATGCTGCTGGTGATGCTGATGGTGCTGACAATGTTGGTTATCATGCTGATGGTGATGGTGATTCTGCTGATGCAAAGCATGATGCTGATGGTGGTGATGCTTCCGCTGCTGCTGTTGATGATGATGCTGATGATGATGCTGCTGATGATGCTCATGATGATCATGCTGCTGATGATGCGGATGATAATGAGGATGCTACCGATCACGATGCAGATGATGCTGGTGGTTCTGATGATGCATATGCTGATGACATCGCTGCTGCTCATGATGATGAGGATGATGATGAGGATGATGGTGATGCTGATGCTGCAGCTGATGTTGTTGTTGTTGATGGCGAGGATGATAAAGTTGAC